ATCAAGCCAAAGGGGAAGAGTACGCCAAGTAGACTAGCGACCTTTGCCGGGCCTCCGCTGTTCCTCTGTGCTGAGTTACGTCCAACAAGCACGCTTCTGGCACGAGCTTGTTCACTCTGCGTGTGCTCGCTGCGCTCACAGTGTTGAGGACTGCCGGGTAGAAGCCGGGTCACAAACAACAGCGGTGCAGTTACATCCCAGTGGCAACGCTGAAACTATAGATAATGATGTCGCTGCATGAGGAAAAACTAGCCTACGAGTTCGGTAGTTTCCCACAACTACAAAGCAGCTAGTTCAGTAGGTTAGAGCACGTACTATAATTAGTATTAATAGCAGCAGTACTAGAATAACAATGTATTATAAAATACCGAATGTTAAGACGACGACGACACATGCCGATCATGTGGCACACACCGTCGGAGCCGCGTAGATCGGCCCAGTTGTTAGTGTCGTCGCCGCTGCTGTTGTCGGCTGCTGTCAGGACGCTATGACACATCAGTAGCCGTGACATGTGCTTGACGAAGTCATTTTCTTTCATCATGAATCCGCATGTGTTTGCCCGTGCCACGTTCGTCGCGCAGGCAAAAAGGCGCAGGCATATAAGCTTGGATTCGGTTCCGCTTCTGGCTTTTATGGCGTTTCCTTGCTGTAATAGTAACTGTCCATTTCTCGCTCGTTCGACCCGTCAATCCTATGAATTGTTGCAATGCGAACAAGTAAACAAGCAAGTAACTGGTGTAGCCTATTTTGTTGACGAATAGCTAAGGTACTTGGTGATTGTTGTTACGGTGGGCTTCGCAATTGGCTGGCAAAAAAAAAGCAGCAGCAGCAGCAGCAGCAGCAGCCGTTAGCAAAAACAAGTAGTTACTTGTTAGTCAGAAAGTCGCGCCGGTGTAACAGAAGCGGCAGCGTGTCACAGCATCGGGAGATCGGATGATAGCAGACTCGGCTGACGCACTTGTCGAACTTATCCTGTAGCTATTACGGTACGGTGGCGGCAGCAGCAGCAAAAGTATCTTATCTTTCCATTGTTATGGTTTCTTGGTGCCTCGCGTTTCGTTGTTGTCGAAGATGCGACGCTGTTCGATGGAGGCTATTGTAACCGATGGATAGACAACAAAAAGCTACCGAGTGAATCCCCTGCTCCTGAATCGTCATCGTTAAAGTGCACATAGTGGCCCATTGGCACTAGGTTGCTTGTTAAGGCCACGATACAGAACGTAACGGAGGTATGCAGAATACAGTGCATCCTACGATGGGAGCAGGATCTACTCGTGGGCGATATTACGTTGCCGATGATACGATGTCAAGACGTGAACAAAACATTAAATCAGTAGAAAATGCGGATAATGCAAAAAACAGCAACGGCGGTACGTCGTACTTTACCCATATCTAGTTGGGCTGTTGTACTATACAGTGCTGGTACTGCGATGTTATCACATGCTCACTTGCCCCGTTGCCGTTGTTGTTGTTTTCGTTAGTACATGTTATGCTAAAAACAGCGTTCGCCTGAATAATTCGACCCGCATCGCTTAAGCTGGAGCCTAACAGTGGTTTTCGATTTGTGTGAGCAGCCTCCAGTCGCATCTGGAGTGGGGCACGTCAAGCTACTATTTTGCCAACTACATTTCGAATGTTTCTGTTGTGAAAGATGGCGAGCATACTCCGTTCTGAAGAAACTATCTGATTATGTGCTTGTTGTCCACCGTCCCGATTGGCTCCGGCTTATAGGCTATTATGCTGGCGGTAACTGACACAAAAAATGCTACTCATTACCCCTTGGCGCGATCTGAACGGCGGCGGCGACATCGGCAGGAGCGAAAGTGACTGTGGTAACATCGCGTTCCAGTCGGTAGGCCACATAGCGAGTCAGTTTGCCCTGCTACCACTACTTTGACAATTAACTGCATGATGCTGTCGCATTAGGAGGACCGCGAACAGAAAGTGCACAGGCAATGCAACACGTTTGATGACGGGCATCAAAGACATCTGGCTACGGACTGCTGCTAGCTGCTAGTGGGAGTGTGAAAGATAGGCGACAGAGAGATAATGATGATACTGAGGTTCTTCATCAATCTTTTGATTGTACCACACGCATTACGTACTCTTTGGAGCGATGTCGTCTCTCGATCGTTACCGATTAGTTCTACTACCACTACTACTACTACATCAATTGTCAATGGTGTTCTTACTGTCGTGCCTGTATAGTGGTGATTTTCTTGACGTTCCACCGCCCTACCTTCCTCTCAGCCCCCTTTCTTTTATCTCATAGGGATATCTAGTCTTTAAGCTTGGGAGTCTCGCTCACTTTTCTCTCGCGTCTTGCTATACTGTTTCTCTTTGGACAGCACGATCTCTCGTCCTTCCCCCTTCAATGACACTACTTAACGTCACTGACCGCGTTGACGACGACGCTGGATACGATGACGGCGCTGGTAGAAAAGCGAGTCGAGCCACATACAGAATCAGAGAAGCGTTTATAATCTATCGACGTCTCTATGAGTCTGTCGCTGTTCTCAGCCTGATGCTACTGTCAGGGCCTGGGTGCTTCGGTTCCTTTTTTGTTAGTTGTTGGTTGGCTGGCTGGCTCGCTCGCTTATTCGGCACTGGTTGCCTTCCTTACTGCGCCGGCTGATTAATAACTGAGTAATGATAATGAAATTAGAATTGACCGACTGCTTGCCTGTCTGCTCTAAGGCTCTTTCTCAGCCGTGCTTGAGTCGAACGACAACGAAAAGTGCCGCCTTTAGTGGAGAAGGTCGGGCGGCTTGCTATATATCCAGCCAGGCTGTAGAGTAGCTAGCGTCCCTATATGGCACGAACAGAATCCAGTAGCCAATCATTCAGTCAGTTAGAGAGAGTGACTCCATGTGCGCTAACGGCAGTCTGTCGCTTTTGTAAAGGGGCCCTGTTTGCTGCTGGCAGGATTGAATCGTTGCTTCGTTCATGGCTTGGACGCTTGCTTAGGAGGAAGACGCGTCGTCTCAGCGGTCAACGTAGCGGCTGCTACGTCGGCAACAAATTGCAATCAATTTGTGTGCTCCGCTGCCATCACTATCGACGGCGTCCAGCGGCTGTGGCGGTATAGCGGGATCAGCCCGCAGCCCCATGGAGCAGTAGCGTTAGGCAGCATCCTATGGATAGGAACATTAAGCTCATCTAACTAGCTCAGCTAGCGATTCTACACTTACAAATAACGATAGAGGTGACAGCGAAGACGAGCGAGAAGAAATGAGCTCAATCTGAATTCTTCGAGGTCCGTCGGTCCATCGAATGGCTCCGGCAACTGGCGTTGCTCAGCGTACAGGGGATAGTCCTGCCAATAGCTGCTGGTCGTGCTGCCGCTAGCCCAACGCTGACTTGCTCACTGGGGATAAGATAAAGATCTATGGCCGTGAAGGGAAACGCGACGCAGTAATATTCTATAGAGTACAACAGAAGTAATAATATAATAAACATAGCTGCATTGGTCTATGATTCCTTTTACAAGCAGCTGTAACAATTGTAGATCTGGCGGAAAAAGTGCATCCAGCAACGATATCTGGCCTAAAAAACCCGGCCGGTGACAAGAGAACAAAACCGTTGCATTCATCTAAACAATTTGAATTTGAACAGCAAGAAAGAGGCAGTACGCGAACTCTGTGTACAGTCTGGTCATAACCCGCAACAGCTTATGAACGGAACCAACGCATATAAACATCTCCACAATTAGCTACCTAGTATCATCTCTCAAACACAATTCCCGCCCTCACATAGCAGCGTATCGAGAGAATACAAGAACGTGCCTACGACAAAAAGCGACGATGACAATGACGTAGCCGATATCACGTTTTTTACACTGACAGTCAGTGCTGATCGATAAGGGGCGCAGATCCACAAACTGCTCAGGGCACTCTGTCTTCATGTTGATATCCTTCGTGTTATCTCTCTGTTCTGTCACCCAGTGTAAGACTGTGCACGATGAGGGTCGAAAGAGTTCAACAGTAGCGTATGTTGCAGAGCAGGATTTTTTCGTCGGCTTGGTTTTCGGGTGTACGTGAAACAACAGAGATATAAAGGCGGCGTGTAGGATGATGACTACAACAACAACAACAAAAAACAGCAGCAGGACGTGCGAAAAAACGCTTATAGTTGTTGTAGTCGTTGCCGTGGTAGAAACTAGAGATACTAAAATTAGCTCGGAGGCGATGTTGCGAGGTGGTGACCGTTGTCATGGTTAGCTAGGTTGCTAGTTAGTCTCGTAGGTCTGGCTACTTCTGACGCCCTTGCTGCCATCTTGAAGGCCTGTTGTGCCCGCCCTCAGCTAGCTGCCTAGCTAGGTAGGCAAGCAAAGGGTCGGAGGGATGTTATGGTTGTTACGTCGCCATTGAAAGCCAATAGAACGAAAATAGAAGAACTGAGAGTGTTAATTTAAGCCTATTTAAGGCAGCACAGTTTGGCAGGTCAGAAAAGTAAAGGACCAAAAGAGAGGTGGAATGCTGTTTATTGTCATTGGAACTGTCGCCTATACTCATCATGTCGCTGGTAATGGTCCGTCAGTTTGCCTTCCTGCCATGCACCTACAAAGAGTCGATACGTTATGGCCTGTCATTTGGCCTAGTTGCTGCCAGTAGTTCACTGAGCAGAAGCTGATTCCGGCAGCGAGATAACACCACTCTCTCCGTAGCAGCTTCTTAGAAATATAGAAAAAACTTTTAGTAAGTAGAAGTGCTCAGGAATTAGGATGAAATGTGCACGACGCGCTACATGGTTCATTCACTGCTAACATTTCCCTGCTACTGAACAGACAAGATTGCATGTAGCAGGCCTGACGGGCTTTAGTGTAAATAATGAATAAAACGCGACGGCGGAGGATAGTAAAAGAAGCTGGATTCTCAGCCATTGAGCTATTGAATTACGATAGCTATACAGTGTCGCTTGTAGGCAATTTCTTTTTAGAGGATATTTTTACTAAGCCAATGTTTGGTTTTTTTTTTTTTTTTTTGCATTCGTCCATATAGATGACAGTGACGAATCAGAGTCAAATGACGATGACGAGGAAGAGATTGACGTCGTATCTATACAGTCAGCGCCACTAGCGTCACATGCGCACAATGCGACGAACGTAGCCAATGGACAACAGCAGCTTCAGCAGATGCAGATGCAACGCGCCCACCAGAGAAGTCTAACATCGCATACGGCCTCATCGCAGCGTTCGCTTCTGAAGTCGAAGAACTCATTGAAGACCGCCGCGCACAAACAGCGCAAACAAAAAAACGCTGGTACCGTCGCCAACGTAAGCGTCACGAATAATGCGCTCCCAACTCCAGTAACGCCTTATCTTCTAACACCAGCGTCGAGTCCTCAGCCTGCCGGTAACCCAATCGGACCTACCGAATACCCAATGCCCAAGGTACGTGCGTATGCGCTGGACGCATTTGACCGAACTGTAAAAGTGTGTGTTTAGGGTTTTTCTTGTCCAATCGCTGGTCGTCATTCTTATCGTTTTGTCGACAACCATTGCGGTAACTCGGCGCCAAAAGATTTACTAAATGCTAGAGAATTTAAGTTCGTTAAGATAAAATCAAATAGGAAAATAGCGGTCGCTGTTTAACTGAGTTTGTCGACACAGTTTTATTAGCAATAGTAGTACTAGAGAGCATAGAATTAAAAGAACGCCGCAACGCTTTCTTTAGCCACAGCTTTCGGTACTGGTGATAAAGCCTTCGAAATTAATGCTTTTATTTCTCTTTGGTCGTTGCTTACGTCCGGTCCTTTTGGCGTACTCGGCTGGTGGTCGCATCTATCTGGCGTCCGTCCACAAAACAGGTCACCTCTTCGGGACGTATCGTTCAGCCAACAAATCGCAGCGTGTCATTTTTGGAGGCCCAGCCCCAGCATTCGTCAAGAGGAGAACACCACTCGCGTAAAAGGAAGAGGAACAATAACGAAAATTCACATTCGGTACGACCGACGAAACACGGCAGGAACAGTGGCTCTAATCGAACCTGCGATATCGAGGACCCCGAGAAGCGACGCGAGCACAACTCAATGGAGCGCAAACGGAGAGATGACCTCAGGTACGCTTACAGCCTCAATGATCTACTACTGCTATAGTTATTTGACAGCTCTCTGACCACAACGTAACTTTGTCCACTGTCTGGGAAAAAGATGGGCATTTCGATGGGCGTGTTGGTAACAGCAACTTCTGCGACAGACCTAGCTTGCTTGTCGCAAGTACATTGGGTATCTGGACGCGCAGCCGCACCAACATTGTCTCTTCCCTCTCTTCACTTGAAAATCTTGTAGGTACATGTGTAATCACTTGACGATGACTAGTGGTGTTTTCCATGTAACTTGCTGCAAGGGCTCAGGGTTCGCTGCCGTACGCTAGTGGTGCGATGGCTGTCAACCGTTTCGGCTGCGCAACTTTCGGTAGCCGAGAAACGAAACTGAAGGCAACACACACAGTCCAGTACGAGCATTGTACCATCTCTCCGTTTGCAGGTTCGCCTTCCAGAAACTCCGTGAGCTCGTTCCCGAGCTGAAGGATAACCCTAAGGCAGCAAAGGTGACCATTCTCTCAAAAGCTGCCGAGTACTCGCTTCGACTTCAGCAGCAGCAGAAACAATTTGAGATGCAGATATCACATGAAGAGCGGCGAAGACGCCAACTACTGAAGACCTTGGCCGCGTTACAACACCAACACAGAAGCGCAAACAGTCAGGGTCTCGGCGCATCCGCGCTGTCGGTGTAAGGCGAGAGTGGCTAGATGTCTTGACTTTGATGTCTTTTCAATTCGATGATTGACTTTATCACACCTTTCCATCACTTCATAAACTGAGCTCGAGATACATATATACATATGTTTATATACATATTTTTCTCCGCATCATTTGTTGTCTTCAACACGTGCTACGACAGAAAATTAGCAGATGACACAACAGATCTTTGAGAAAACAAACGCAACAGAATTCGCACAGACGAACATACACACACACACACACACACACATGTACATATACAGACATACACGTAATTAGGTACATGCACACCAGGATCCGAGGTCCTACAAATCCCGTTGTTTAAATTGTTGTACTTTTCCAAAGTGCTATGTTGAAATTCCTCATTGAAATATACGAATTGTGACTCTCGCTTTAATCGGCCACAAGCTGATTATTACCATGACAACGTTGCGTCGGGATAATTCAATTGGCTATCTTTAACTGCTACGATTAAGAACAACGGGTTGAACAACTCAAGCTCTAAACACTTCCCCATTATTTACATCATTAATCAATCAATCAATCAATCAATCAATATATTCTAATAATATATTATTAGAATATAGACGCGCCCTGCTGGTCTATAGTGAGTTAAGCAGAGGACGTGCGGCGGTCCGACTCCCTGTGACATAGCTTTACTACAGCATCTATTACTATCGAATAACATAACTATTGTTATAACTAACAACCACGGTTATTCTACTAGGCCGCTACGCACCGCACACAACACTGCATACAATCTCGTAGCGATTGTTTCGCGCCTTCAGGGGGTGGGTGTGTGTTTTGCCTGTGTTAGTTAGAAACGAGCGCATGTAGATAGACGTAGACCGGGGACTTCAGGCTGCTTTTTCACCCAGATGACGATGGCAGCAGCAGCAGCAGCAGCAGCACTAGGTAGGAACGCAATAGGCAAACAATAGGAAAAAATCGCAACGACGAGATGCTGATGGTATGATTTCGTTGCTATGACGCATCGAAACGACGATCGCCCTTCTCTAAGCACAGGGCAACGACACAAGCTCAGGCTGTCTGGCGGCGACGAAGCTGACCGAATGAAGAACTTGCATAGAAATGGAAAAATATCTAGGGGCATTCAATTCAATTCGGTTCGATGATCTACCAAGATGAACTACCAGGTACAGACAGATATATAGGCAGGCAGGCAGGCAGGCAGGCAGGCAGGCAGACACACAGACCACAATCACAAGGAGAACACGTGAGTGAACGATGCTACACGCATACGCCAGGAACAGGAAGATGACGGTATCGAGAAGCTGCACAAGTCTGTAGTAGTGAAAGTATGTAATAATCGTGGTAGTAGTGAGAACTAAAGAAACCGCTAAAATGCTAATGGTTACCAGTTGAAGGGAGAAAGTAGAAACATGCAAAGCAAGCCCGAACGGCAAAAGGTTGGTTAGCTGGTTAGGTAATTTATGGGGTTATAAGGTCAAAAAGACAAACCTCCTACTATTTAGATGGAACGGACATTGGATGGTTTTTCTAGTTTTATTTTTTTACAAAAAACTAGAAGCTGAAGGGGGAACGCAGCCTGAAGCCACTACCGGCCAGGGCCTGCATGGGCTGAAACCATCCGGTTTAGAAAAGTAGTGCTGGTGAAAAAGCGCATCAGAGTGCGCTGCAGCCCCAAGAACCCTTATTGAAAATTGAAACACAACAAGAAGCTGGGTAGTCTTGATTGGTTATGGACCTCCGATGGCGGCCTTCTTCGGAAGCCTTTCGCTAGGGCACCTGCAGGGCTGCACTTCAACAGACAGATTGTTCCTGTCTGCGTAAAATTCATAATAATAATAATAATAATAATAATAATAAGTTATTTCGAACCTGTTTTAAACGAACAGTCGTCGTCGTCGTGTAGCTTTTTGTCGGTCAGTCGACGCCGGGGAGCACTACCACCATCGCCGCCGCTGCCGCCACCGCCGCTCTCTCTATTTCGGCCTCAAAATCGCTCCGTATATACGAAATTTGTACATTTGTCGTGGGCGATATGCGGGGGCCGAATTATATATATGAACAGACCATAAATATATATATATATATACATATA